GGAGAGTCGATGCTAGAAAAGCGAAGAAAGTGGGTTTGGTCAAATCGCATTTTTGCATCTATCTTATGCTGTTTAAGAGGAAGAAGCTCATGGCGTGGAAGAAAATTATCACCCTCGATTATTGCCCTTTCTATACCGGATTTGAGGATGTGAGTGGTTTTCAAAGGTTTTTGTGTCTATTTCAATGGTTTTAGGCCACAGCAAAGGTTGAGTCGGATCGTTTTGATTCCTTGGCAACTTTCCGTTTGCGAAAAGGTAGTAGCGGTACAGCAATCATGCTTCATGATGCTTCTACCAGGAAAGCCGCATCTGCTAAGACTATCAAAGATGTGGATATTTCCGTTGTGAAGCAGAACAGAGGTAAAGCTAGGAGACATAAATGCACGCAGTCCGTTATTATTGGGTCCCGACTTTCAGACATACTTGCAAATTGCCTCTCTGAACAGCCTACGACTTGGGAGCATTACCTGCTTGAAGATAACCCCCAGTTCTATAGAACAGGACAGTATTTGAGAACTGGTGATATGACTGGATATGTATTCCAGGAAAGACCGTTCTACCATCAATTTGACCCTGATCAAGAAAGTATGTCTCCAGCGTGTTTGTTTCATTGTTATGTGACAAGAAATTGTTTTTTGAGGTGCTGATGATCCAGGCGAGGCGTATTCATTCATTGAGAAGAACGCAGACAGGACTCTGTACACATTCAAGAAGCCACCGAAGGGTACTACTCTTCCAAGACTTGCTCCTCTCATACGTGTTCCACTTAACAAATATGCCAATCCAAGGAATAGAAGGGCTTCAGATGTGCGTAGTATTTTACACTAACATTTACTCAGAAATTGGTTCTACATTCTATTCTCGTTTTAATTTCAGTTCTACCTCAAAGAAAATATTGAGATTGTGCAGGAAGACCATGATGAGGATTTGGAAAATTTAGAACATGAACTCGAAGACACTTGGGCAAAGATGGGTAGCCAAGACATGGTAAGTAGTATTTTTCTCAACGGGGAAGTAATTTTATTCTAAACCACTCCGGACCAACCTTTGTACACTTACACTTGGGGGTGGGGCGGATGTTGTAGGCTACTTTTCTTTGTCGATCATTATCGATTTTATCGATTTTTTTGTAAAGTTTGGCCTGCAGG